ATTGTTGGGATGCCACGGAGGAAAACTCCGTGTTGCCTAGACCACGGCCTTGCCCAACACAAGTTATAAATTCGGGCACCGCCGGGAATCGAACCCGAGACCCCAGGAACTAAATATATGTACGCTGTTGATGAAGGCAGCGAGGACCTCTGAGGCATTAGTAAACTCCCTATCACGGCGTTAGCACGCGGAATGCAGTCGTCTGTTTGTTTTACTAAAACGAATATCGTATCGAGTTTGGGTGCAGGCATGGAGTGAAATTCATGAGAACGATTCTCACATGACTGTTGCCGACATCTTGAATTTAGGTACTGCAGATGACATGTGTGTTCACAATTTGAAGTTGGTGCCTCTGGGGAAACTGTGCATCGATTCGAGTGCCAGGATCTTCGTCCTGGTTTCATTTCTCGTCAGATCGCCTATCCAGAAAGCAGCTGTTGGTCCGTGAAAGGCTGGCAGGTGCGATCCGTGATCTAAGTTTCAAATAAACTTGAAGGGCATCGGAATAACACGCATTTGGTTTCAAACTCTTTCCGTGCTGTTTAAAAACAGACTGAGAAGAACTCCTCTCCAAATTACATTATCTGCCATTTTGCATATCACATTCAGCCTTCACGTTTAAACTGTTTCAGATACAAATCTGTCCACGTTGCAGGTATCTCATTTCTAATTTTTTTGCTGTGGGCGTAACTTGAAAAAACTGATAATCCTGAAGTTCACTTGTTCGTGGTTCCTTAAGGTTCGTCACCTTGTCCACAAAAAAATAAAAAGCCACTGAATTCTGTCCTGGGGCAGTTTAATCCAGTCCACGCCCTCGCGTCTCTGTAATGGGATTTAGTCCGTACCGCAAAGAAAACATAGAACTTCACCATTGCAAAGATCAACTGGTTAACGCTGTTTAAGGGGATAATTTGGTCAAGAACACTAATTAACCCTTTAAAACCCGAAGCTCGTCTAAATAATATTTAAGAATCCAGTCCGTACCGCGAAGAAAACACCACATTTTACCATTGCAAAGATCAACTGGTTAACGCTGTTTAAGGGGATATTAGCAGTTTATAGTGAGAATCATACGAAACACAGATTACTGTGAGGACAAACTACAGATTCGCTGAATCACAACGCATGTGGTACATATAGTTGCCACTTCGCTTTGAAGAATCAGATTCCCGTCTCATTCCCGTTCTCCGTTAATTTGCTTTGCAGTGAACCCTCATGCATAAGGTAGTATATTTGCGTCATATTGTGAATTAGGTTAATATTTTAATATTTTCCGTCAAATCACAATTTTTAATAAGATAATAAAATATAAATGAACCACGCCATATAAAAAACAATACCTTCGTTCTAATATATAAGAGTAATCTGATAAGAACATTTCAATAAACTGCATAACATTGTAAATGATTGTAATTCGAGTTTTAAATTTACCAATCTAATTTATACCTGAGGACGGTTAAATATAACCGAAACATGTCGTAAGAGACGTTCCAATTTGTAAATCGATCATTCGATACGGAACGTGAAATGATATTGTAAATATTTTATATTTTATTATTTTATTAAAATTGTGATTTTACCGGAAAATATTGAAATATTAACCTCATGCATAAAACAAATGGGCGTCTAATGATTTCCTCCTGTAGAAGGCTGAAGGAGAGTCTTCTCAAATTATTGTGTTATCGGGTCGACAGGCCTGCTATTAGCAGATTACTGTGCCACAGAACAGGCGAACAATGTTTACGCTACCTTGAAATACTCCACACCTATCGGGAAAAGGGAACAATAGACAGTCGTAGGGCGTCTCCTTGGCAACGAAATCCGCTTAACATAATTTGATGATAATTTGTGATTAAGCCGGCTATTGATGGTTTGAACTGAAATGTGGTTATAATTTCCGGGATAAAGCACGGCCATATTGCCTTTCGTAACTTTGTATGGCATCATTTCCACACCGATGCTCAGTGGATGTTCTGCGGCCATTTATGAAACATCGTGTGGAGGCTTCCGCCATGTTCTGTCGTAATCCTCACTCGCCGATATTAGTAGATTAATAGGAATGGAAATACGTTTACTGTCAACTGATAAGCCACACTCCATACTTTCAAACACAATTTCTAAACTGTCTGCACTTTTACACTTTCGTTTTTACAAACGAGACGGTGGTCTAGCGGTTAGAACGCTGGCCTTGTAATCCTGGGGTCTCGGGTTCGATTCCCGGCGGTGCCCGAATTTATAACTTGTGTTGGGCAAGGCCGTGGTCTAGGCAACACGGAGTTTTCCTCCGTGGCATCCCAACAATTACTCCATTCACACACAGAAGAAGGCAATGGCAAACCACTTCTGGATCATCTGCCAAGAACGTATATGAACAGGTCCCAGTCCGAGAAAAGGATGGAAGGATCCTGTTCATATGGACCTGTCGTCAGACAGAACACTACAAATAAAAAGATAAAAATGTATACCTCATCAAATAATATTAAAATCTTTTCACATTTTAATGTGATACGTTTTTTTTGTGACGTAGGTTCTTAGAAATTGTATCAATTTCAGTTTTAGCTGAGTAAATAAGTGAGTGTGACGTATAATTTAACGGAATTAAAGTTTTTATTATTATTTATGAAGGTGATGTTGCGTCTGGTATAATTTTACCGACGTTTCAGAGGCGCGTGCTTTCAGAAGACAAGACGTCTGATGACTGGTCCTATGTTCTCTGGTACTTACCGTTCGTTGCCATTGGAGATAGATTCATTACTTTTAAGGGTCACCATGATGAACCTTTTCATCCCTTCCACATAATGTCTTGATGGTTTTGCCAAATTGCCGCCATTAGTAAAAGTGTCTCCCCTCCCTCGTACGTCATTTCCTTCCATTCGTTTTCAGACGCTGTCGTCGGTTTTTCGTAACTGGGTGTTCAAGAAGTTTAAGCCCTTGTGTGAGCTGACTTATCTGTTCGCGGTCGTGCCTTATGGCGGAGGCAGAGAGGAAATTGGGCCGGAGAAGCCGTCTAAAGATACGGACATCATGTCAGGAAAGGACATGCACCAATTTTAAGGCTGCACTGCAAACGAGCTTAATAATATTAAAAAGGGTCTTGCGGATGGTTAGATAGGCCGATGGGATGTGTGGATGGGTGGCAGAATGGACCGGTGTTACGGAATTGTTTTAATGGAACCGTCTGTCATATGGGCAGGTACACAAAGCAATTAAGCACAATGCGTCTGAGATGATAATGTTACGTCATATTGTGTTGAATATATACTTGTTCAATTTTATCAGTCTAATCACAATAAAATATTATTATTAAATATTAAAATATTACAATTAACATTTAAATATTTAAAATATATTAAAATGTGAGCATCATTTTAATATATTTTAAATATTTAAATGTTAATTGTAATATTTTAATATTTAATAATAATATTTTATTGTGATTAGACTGATAAAATTGAACAAGTACACAATGCGTCTGTTTGCTGGAGGTTTCTGAGCGTGGCATTGTCAAGCACTGTCGCTTTATTGTGGGGCAGATGCCCCAGAAGCGTACAGGTGCGCCACTTCAATGCTCCTTCAAGCGCAATGACACCTCAGCTGCTTCGACCTTCAGCGGCTTTGGCACTGAGCCATTGTGATTGGTTTCTCTTTACTTCTGCTCGTCTTTATTCCTCGCCTTGGACCCTTCTTCCATCTACATTTAGGTCACCCAAGTTTACTATTTACTTCCGAATTTCTTTAACAAAATTTTGTATTCGTTTCAGACGTATAATCCAGTGACTCGTATAATGTATGGAGTTTCGTCTCTTAGCGCCTTCTTACTCGTTTCGACTTGTAAAAAACAATTCTAACTTCTGTCTTTTACTGTTTACGACGCGTCATTCAACAGTCCTGACTCGGGGCTCATTCGAACTGCCAAGATTTGAATATGTTTTGCTGTCTTGTCTTCAAATTGAAGGTTCATCTTTCATTTTTTGACGTAAATACGTCTATAAGGAAGGGTCATTCGACAAAAAAGTGTAACAAGTGTACCTA